CTAAGAGCTTTACCACAGGTTCTACTTTTAGGTGCGTGGGTAGTCGCGTTTTCAGCCCAATTTCCACTGATTCGAACTTTCAAAGGCCCAAATGCAACAGAATCCAGTCCGTTTATAGGTCCATTGGACATTTGGACTAAGTTTGTTTAATCCAATCCAAACTTTGTTAGCCCAAACAGCCTCCAAGTATCCCGTAGTGCTAAACTCATCCGTTTTGCAGGACGTCTTTAGGAAGATATATCTAAAAATGTTATATTTTAATTAATATTTTTAATATTATAAAAGGATAATATTTTAAAAAAATTAAATGTTAGATTGAAAGACCTATTTATATAAATAATATATATAAACTTTTAAATTAATATAATAGGTTTAAGTAATTTGCTAGTTATAAAAAATTTAATATAATTAAATGTGTTTCCCCAAAAATCTTTAGCCGACCTTATCACGTGAGTTTGGATGTTACGCATGCCATTTGCTTTGTCTAAAAACAAGAAAATAAAATTTTTCAGATGACCCTTCTCTTTTTCAACGGTCGACCTCCAATAATATGATTGGAAAGAATGTTTGTGAAATAAATTGCGTCGTAGACAATGTTGCAAAACAGAAAATGGAGTTCTGCAAAATAAGTTACTAATTGCCTTAGAAACCTCCAAGGACTTTACAATCACAAAAGTGTTATAAAAGCTACAAATCCTAAAATTAACACAAAATTCTAAGGTAATTAATCTAACATAAAATCAACAAAAGAGAACATGCCACAAAAATAAAACTTGCAGACAACCAAGAATGTAAAATCAGATACAACGATTTCCATTACACAATCCATGATAATTAAACTAATTACTTGCATATTTAAAATAAAAATAACTAAACTACTTGATAACTAAAACTGAAAAAAAATCTACGAAATAATTAAAGTTTGAAAACTTATAAAATTAAACTTGAAAATTGAAATTAAATAAACTGCATGTCTGGCTGTTGTGCAAAAACAAAAGAACAAAGGTAGAAAGCATTCAACTTATTTACATGAACAAATAACATAGATGAATCTATAAGAGAAAGAAGAACTAACCAAATCAACAGGACAGACCTGTTTTGCAGGCTGAATTGCTTCCAAATGCTTAAAAACTAACTTAAATTGAAATTTTTGAGAAACAATATGAACAAAAATGGAAAAACCTAAACAAAGGCTATGAACAAGAACAGATCTTGCAAACTAATTTGAAAACTATTGTTGAAATCTGAAAAAAGCAATCTAAAAGTTGAAAAACATATGCTCTGAGCAGTGTCTGTAGGGGCAAGCTGTCTAAAACTGATTTTTTCTTCCTATTTTTCTTTCCTTCGGTGCGGGGAAACCTCTTCCATGTTTCTCGACCCTCCCCCACCATGATCGAGTAGTGGGGATTCCATGTCTGACAGATGTCTGATAGTTGATAGTTGATAGTTGATAGTTTTTTATTCAACCTTATCTTCAATAAAACCCTAATAATCCTTCTCCTAAGAAACCTCAACTTCTTACTTTAAATCAACCTCAAACACCAAAAATTATTTTATTTTTTGCCACCTAAAATCCAACTTTTTTAAAATTCCGTCTGGACCCTTAAACTGTAATCCAGTCCAGTCCAATCCAAATCCAACCTACTGACTTTTCTTGATAATTGGGTTTCAACTTGACACGTGACCTTACCCTATTGGTTTATTTTTAGGTGTAAACACAATCACTACAAGAAAAAGAACAATTCCCCACATTTGTTTAAGTGTTTATTTGCATTTTTAAATGCAGGAAAAAAATTACCTGCATGAAAAAAAATTACTTGCATTTATACAAACGTCACACAAATGTTGGCACAAATGGTGCTGGTAAATATTATACCTATGTTTTATGCAAATGTTGGTATAAACTTCTTTTCCCTTACATTTTTTTTAAAAACACAAGTATCACTTAAAAAATACAAGTAATACCCTTCTTAATGGACCTAAAAGTATAGCAATATTTGATGTTTTCACCTCGTTTTTGGTCGAATGCAAGAAAAGCGATTTTGAGTGCATTTGGAATTGCGGTTAGGAGCTTTTCCATGTAACTATACAGCACTTTTAGATGTATATGTGTTTGATAATTTTTTTTTAAATTGCTTTTTTTAAAAGCAACAGAAAGCTATAGCAGATCTATAGTAATTTTATATATAAAACTAAAAGTCTCATTTTGGAGTTTTCTGATTATAACTTTTACGGAGAACACCTAATATTTAATATAATTACAAATTACTCATTAAAACTTAATTTCATATAATTTAATTATATCATAATTTATAATACTTTAATAATTAAAAAAATTTTAAAAACTTAAATTATTAAAAAATAATAAATATTATATATTTTAATAATTATATATCATATAATATTTTTTAAATTTTAATTAATAATTAATAAAATCTATCATATTTTATCTATAATATTTTTTAAAAAATAAATAACCAAACACTAAATAAACTTTCGATCACAGTTACGGCACAATACAGCCACAACTAACCACAACCACAACCATAGCATTTCACAGCAATCCCAAACACACCTTCTTTCTTTTTCCTTTTTGCTTTTTATAATTTTTTGTTACCAAAACAATATCTATTTGTTGAAGGATAATAATTGGTACATCCTTCGATTCAACACACCTAATAACACTCATTGATTCAACACACCTAAGAATACTCATTAGTTCAGTCATTAAAAAACTAGTATTTTCAAATTGGAATTCAAGATGGGAAAATTTTCGAAGATAAATTTTAATAACTGAACCGGTGGATGTTGTTAGGTGTGTTGAACAAGAGAGTGTACCAATCATGTTTCATTTGTTGAAAAAACCATGTAGAATTAAAGCATAATTAATCAAACCAAATATAATATCAATTAATCAAAAATATTTATGGACTTGACATATTATTAAATGCTTAATTTTATTAGAACCAAATAAAACATAACAATAATGCCTAAATAATATCCAAGCTTGAGTTGTCAGATTCAAAGACAACACAGCCAGGCAATAATAGAAAATGCTATTGTTGCTATTAGCAATTAAACTCATTGTCATATTGAAATGCTCTAACATTGTAGCCACCAGTATCATCATTACTTTAAGATGCATGACATGGAAAAGTTGGCACCCTTGTTGATCCTAAAATTCAAACAAGATATAGTTTTAAGTTGCAAAAAACCACTCAGAAGCTCTATGTAATCTAAAATATCATATCAAATGATTTGGCTGCCAATCATAATTTATATTTACCTTCAATATCTAAACAAGATTTCTAATTCTAAGCTCAGAAAACATGAAAAACTTAACAATTATAAGCCTACAAGCTAATCCTAATTAACTAGAGTCCTACTGCACAAGGGTCCACTGTGACAACAACTTGTCAAACTAATCCCAATTAACCAGAGACAAAAAAAAAAAGAAAAGAAAAGAAAAGAAACTAAAGTCATCTCATTGTTAGGCAACCTCTTGTTCAATGGTAGAAAAACTAAAGTCATCCAAAAACATTTTTAATTGCAAAAACTAAATTCCAAATTTAAAAATAATTAAAAAAGAATCGAGACAGAAATTCCATCAAAGAAAATAATTTTAAATGGAACAAGGAAAATACCATCTCTTGATTGACATCAATTCCAATCTCATCAAGGACCTGGTTCACAAGTTCTTTGGTTCCTTCTCTTCCCCATCCCTTTTGAAGGCATCATCAATTCCATCTCCCATTACTTCAGTCACCATCTCAATCTTCTCATTTTGCCTCTCAAATTCTTGCATAATTTTCTACAGAGATGGAAGGTTCTTCTGGCCCATTGCCTTGTGCATGCCTTTCATTGTTTCTCCTGTTGCTTGTGTTGATTTCAATGTCTGAAACATGCAAATAATTTTACTCACAATTTGAAATTACTATAGGAAGAAAAGTAGAAAACAAACATTGTAAAATTCACAAGATTATATAACACAACCTTTAATTTTGTATGTCCAAAATGTTCTACTTCTTTTTTGAATCTGATGTCATGCTCTAATAGGGTCTTTTACCATCACTTTCACATCTCCCTGAAAGAAGATTACCAAACATGAAACATGTCGGGGTAAGTTTTTATGGAAATTGATAACAAAAAGATGACATTACTTATGGAAATTGATAACAAAAAGATGACATTACTAACATTCTCATCAAAAAAACATGTACTAACATTCATGTCTGACCAAGTCCAACAACCTTCCTAAGTTTAGGAGTTCTGATAAATCTGGGTGTAGAATAAGAGGTTGACAAAGGTCAAAGAAACAAAAGTATACCTTC